ATCCAAACAGTTGTTTGAGAGACCCTCGCATCTGAAGCTAAAAAATTTGGTTCCCATTTTTGAACTCGCAGGAAATGCCCAAAAATGAACCAAGGTCCATTATGTTGGGCTCTTAACATATTTTCCTCATTATTGAATTTAATGATGTTGTAGTCACACCCTAAATCAATTAACGGAAAATTATTCTTAATTTTCCACAGTTCTTGTAACTTCTTTTAAGAAGATAATGTTGGATTCTTCTCCTTTGAAGCTTGACTATGGTTGAGTATTTCCATAGCTGGTAGATCCGCTAAAAATCTTCTTGAGATAGTTGAACTTGTCATTCATTTGTAGAGTGGATCAAATGATCATCTTGCCCAATGTCTTGTTATTCACTTGTATATTGGGCACTTGTGTCTATGATCATATTAATTGAAGCATCTTGTTCACCCTCTACTAGTTTTTCCTTAAAACTAGGGATATATAAGGTTGCTCCATCAGTTATTTGATTGGTATTATTGTCTGAAGGTTTAGGAAGAGGAATTAGATGAACTTGTTTAAAATCCTGCATAACTAGTAGATTATTTTGAGAGAGAATAACAACTACAGAAAAATCATCATTAAAAGGAGTATAATCTAACTTTATATCCCTACTTATGATACTTTAAATATCCATTGACATATTAATTTTAGACCCGAAAAAATATTTCCCGCTGGCTTTAGGAAATTCTGTTGAAAGAAAAATATAAAGCTAGAGCGAACAGACTTTTCTTTTTATTAGAGAAAACAGCCAGCAAGCATATTCATACTATGAGTCATGTTTTTTTGTTACAAATTATCTGGATATGTTTTTGGGGCCTAGGACGACTTCCACTAGAGAAGGCTTTTAGTTTATTTCAAAAATAACAAATTCGATAACAATTGTAGCACATGATTGCTTATGTATGGTAATTAACAGGTTTAGAAATTAAATACTGACCCTCGTATTAAGGAATCACTTTTAACCTTATCAAGTAGTATTCACCATTCTCTCATCATGATTACACTATCACTTTTAATATTTCGATTTATTAACAATAAATAAACCTTCATTTTTCTCAAGATAAAAATGCATAAATAAACACAAATGAATAAACATTATACCACTATTATATCATTTATATAATTAAATATTTCTAATAAATAATGTGATATACCAAATTATTTAATAATGAAATTATTCCATTATCTCTAATTAAATATGCAATACATCATAAATTATTACTATTGATATTTCGGATTATACATGGTAAATGATACCTTATCTGGTGCAATCAATACATGGTTTATGTCGTATATAATTATCTATTACAATCTGTACATGGTTTGTTATACCACTATTATATCATAGGCGATCCTCATCCTGCTTCATTTGCGATGAAAGAAAATCTCAATCTCCCAAAAGTTTTTTCCTTCTCCCACTGCCACTTCCTTGAGTTCGGAATAAAATAAGTTAGGTATTTTTTTTCCTTCATCATATTAGGGGTATGCATCATTTGTTTGGGTTGAGAAATTGAAGAGGATAAAGCAGTAAAAAGTAAGGCTTAGAAATATTACCTGTCACGCCTACTTTAAAGGTCATAACATTCTCAAAACTTAAATGATTAAACGAATCTAATAACTTAGTAAAATCTCAATTACTTGCGAACATGTTTCACATACCAACCATTTGGATTTCCAAGGATTGGTTTCTTTTAATTCAACTTTCTATATATACGAAATTTCTCCCTAACCAAGAGAAATTATGGTGGACTTTTTGTTCTTATCCAGAATTCCAACTGCCATTTCTCCCACCTCGCACACATAAAATTCACAAGGTTTAATTTTGAAAATGTAGTTGCTATCTTTTAAACATTCCGAAATCTATGTGCAAATTGATCCACATGTCCGTTAACCTCAAAAGAAATTCCAATGTAACAGTCAAAACCATATATGCAAAATAATTAAGAAAGTGCAAAACCAATCTTCATTTTCCATCTTGATAAAAATAGTTGTCGTGACTCGTGAAAACTAAGAACACATATATATGCATGCATTTCTTGGATACCCTAGACGCCTTTTTCTTGAAGGCGGATAATTAAATTTAACCCCTATATCATTAATTTTACCTGCAATTGCTAAAAGTAGAGAAAAATTTAGCCATAGTCAAATTCTCATCTTCTTTTAGGGCCTTTGTTATACCCCCTATAATAAAGAATAAGTTTATGAATGTACAAATTTTCATTTCCTAAGCATGCAACTATACATTCCTTCAACATCTTGTTTGATCAATTAGTAATCCTCATTCTTCATCCTCCTCAAATTGCATTTTACCTTCATTGTTTTTCACCTGCTTTATCATAAATTGGCTAGTTTTACGTTGGTTGTCAAACTTCTTGTAAACTGCGCCGACCATAACTTATTTGGAATTGTAGTAGAGTTGGTGTTGTTCTTGTTGTTGTTTTAAACCTGTCTCGAAAAATTCTGAAAAAATGGGTGGTGAAGTATCTAAGGTAAATGCATCACCAACTAGGATCCCCCCAAAATTTCTTTATCGCTTAGATGACATAAGAAAAAAAAGACGTATCAACAGGCGAACATCCAAACAATCTACACCTTCTAAGAAAGAATTGCTTTCTGATCAAGTCATAGACGAATATGAGAAAGAAAGCTTAAAAAAGGAGGAGTCGGTTTATAAGGATATGAAAAAGGTAGAAGCAGAGAAGGAAAGGGTAGCAAAATTGATAGAAGCAATTGTTGAGGAAGAAGAAGAAGGGGATCTTGGAAATGTTGAAGATGAAGATGATGACAATTATAAAGATGATGAGAGGGTGGTTAAGCGTCATGTTGAGGAGGATAATTGTATTGGTTCACCAAGTTTTAGAGTTTACTTCACAAATAACAATGTTGAAAACAAGAAGAATGAAGTTAATATTGGTATGTTTTCTTTCAGTAATTATCAAGAGGTAGCAACCATAAAACTGTAGTTGCCAATAGAAATATCATTACATATGATACTTAAATGTATATATGTATGGATCATTTGCCTTAAAATTTTCCAAACCGGGAAGAGGAGAAAAGCTTAATAGACTCTCCTAGCCCAACCTTAGAATTTGTATTTCGTGATTCGTGATTTAAATAGTATTCCACAATATATTTACTTAAAAGATTATTCCAAATAAATCTATTTAATAACATTGATTTGTATCCTAGAAAAAATGAGAATTGACCTGTTATAGCAAGTTAAATTATAGTGATGGTGTCAAAAAATTAATTATATGTTCGTCGTATATTACTTTAATCTTTTTTTCCTTTTTACCATTTAATGTGCATGTAGGTAAGAAGGATGTATTTGAGGACACAACCCCAATTGCAGCTACCACACCAACTGTCCCTATGGCTGCTACCATACCACTAACAAAGGTATGCATGATTTCTGTCAATTATATGGTTTGGAATATTATCTTCCTTAGTATATACACAAACCAGAGATGGAGCCCCACTTGATCCCCACCCCCAAACCCTTCTTTTCATTTTCCAAATTTTTCATTTCTGAAAGGACATAAGCTAACCATAACTAAGAAGTCCAATTGAAAAATGTGTGCGCACCATAAAATTAGTGAGAGTGGTTTAGTAGATATTGAAATAGAGATATGGAAAACATTACTAATTGTTATGAATCAGTTTTATCTTCAAAGGAAGTTAATGAACACACACTGAAGCATGAAAGTTGCACAAAAACTGGAATAGCAAAACATAAACAGAAGCAACAGCATTTGAAATATAACAAATCAAAAAGATTGATTAGCAGTAAAGTAAATATGTTTCACATTTCATACAGGAGCCCGTGGTCAAGGAGGGGCCGAAAAAAGAAAGGAAGAGGAAGAGTTTTAGAAGAGCGCTGCCTAAGAATCTGTTGAACGTTCGATCATGTTGCTCTGCAGCTCATTCCTCCCCCGACCGTGCCCATCTTCTTCCTGGAAAAGCACCAGCTTGATCACACCACCAGAATTGCTTTAAAATTATCCATCACTATTTGTTGGCTATGTCTACTTATCAACAGGATGTATACGAAAGTTTAGTGAATTTAACGGTAGCTAGTGCACTGTAATTAAAAATTCAGATTAAATAATAGACAAATGAAGAGTTTGGATATACTGGTACAAAATGTTTCTTTTCCCTGTCTTTGGCTGTCTTATCAATTCTTTACCAATATGCTCAATTCTTCAAGAAAGTTGTTAGTTCCTTCTATTTTTTTCGATTGAAAGGTGGCTAAAAGAGAGTATAAACAACAAAAGACAAGGCAATGCAATACTACGTGAGTTGACAACAATGCACTGCGGTAGGTGTGAGCCAAGATTTTGTTTAGTTGATCAAAAGGAGCAATTTGAATTACTGCATACCGGTTTCATACCAGGTGTTGTATAAATATAGCAGCAGATAGAGTTGTTGTTATAGAGAAACAGATAGAGTTGTTGTTATAGAGAAAGTTCAACATCTTTTCTATCCAAGTTTTAGACACTTTCTTGAGGGAATGAAAGGCCAAGGAAATCTTATTCAAGAAAACAATTCAAGTTACTCTGACTTCTTTAACGAATCCATTTATTTTTTTACTTTTGCTTCCTTCGATTAAAGCAAACACCTGATATTTTCTTTAAGAAGCACTAAATTGCAAAAGAAGTATACTAATACTAGACACTAAAGAGCAAAGATAAACTAGTTAACTGTACAATGTTAGCACATCTCAGATGTTAATGGTGTGGAGGAGAAAGAAAACGTAACAAAGTTTAAGATCCAAATTTTATAGGGGAAAAAGTAACTTTCCAGTTTTTCTTTTCTAGAATGAGATTCCTAGTTTCAGCTTGTTGCTCAAGACCAAATTTTTAAATGGCTCCTCTACACGCGCATGAGCGAGTACACACACACACACTACATTATGGTAGATAAGCATGCAAACTAAGAGAATAATTTTAATTACTATAAAGCTGAACAAAGATGCAGAGTGAGGAACAAAATCTTAAGAACATGGAACTGAGGAGTAAAGCTTTTCAGCAATTGTATCCCTTAAGTGCAAATTTGGTAAATTACACGGGAACCCTTAGAGCAGCAAAATACAAAACAAAACGCATTAAAAACTAGCAAGGAGAACTCTCGCCCGACCAGAAAGCAACAGAAATCCCATTTGGCATCTACAGAGGGCCACACCAACCAAAACGCTATCCTAACCATTCGCAACCATGTCTCCCTGCCTGCACAAATAGAAGATTTCAGGTTAGTTAAACTTTTGCTGTATCTCCACCAGTGAATAGATTAGTAACCACCTCAAATAACTATAACACAGAATAGTTTGATGGGCAGGTGTTATGCAGTAAAAAAGGGACGAATGCATCAGGAACTGAAAGTTAACCAGATGATCAAGTTTTAACATCTTTTAAGACAACTTTCAAGATTCCTTCAACAAGTTTGAGTGTAAATGGGTACATCTCTTTAACTTCATAGATTGTTCCTCTCCACCAATCTTCACAATATAACTAATAAATGGCCTGAATATAAGGGAATCCATCTGTGCTCCCTGTACAAAAGAATGTTGCATTTACCCCTGCAGAGAAGCAATTTCCCACAAAAGCCAAAGAAAAAACCCCTCCACTTATTTGACAAAGATAATAATGGAAGTCATATAGCATAGCAAGTCAGAAGTCAATAAAAGGAAATATAGAGCCAGACGAAATTGCAGATCTCATTTCAGCTAATGATCCATCACAACAAAAGACAAGGCAATCTAAAAACATCAGTAAACTGTGATTTATGTTGGCAAGCAAGATAATAATCATCCACATCAACACCAAAACATGTCAAAAGTAGTACTCCCTCCGTCTCAAATTATATGTCCTGTTTTAACATTAATTAGAAGGGATTTTAGACTATTTTACCCTTATTTATGTCTTAAGATATAATCTTTCTTTATTGAATATTTACTCTATTTACATGCTATCTATATCTTCAAAAACAACACTATGCAGGGTAAATGGGATTTTGTCTAGAATTTCTAAAATGACAAATAATTTGAGAGAACTACTTTTAGAACTACGACCGATAATTTGAGACGGAGGGAGTATATTTCAGGAAATTACCAAAAAGCAAAACAAAAATTTTACAAAGCCATCATGGGGTGCAAAATGAGGATGAGGGGATTTTTGTACCCAATAAATACCTATTCGGAAGTGAAGGCAGCAGAAAGGAATTCTTCATCCTCCAAAAATAACTGCAAATTCTTTGTTTTCATTAAGAACCCAACAGCTGCCTCATCGAACTCCAGGATGAATCCCAACTTGATCAATTCAGCCAGTTGATGCACATAATCTTCTTTCTCCCTTAGAATTCCCTCGGCAACTACTTCTGAGAAATATGTAGCAAACTCGAGCTTACATCTGTAACCACCTGATTTGTCCAGCTTCTGTACAAAGATCTTTGCATTTTCTCTTTCCCAGCACATCATTCGGCTCACTTTCATGTTCAGGACATCACCAGAAGAAAGTGACAGACTGTACTCCATGGTTATTGGTTCCAATGTCGCAAAAATACTAACATCCAGGAGGCTTTTGAGAGCTTCATGTCTCGTACGCACTTCCATTTGAAGTGAAGGATCAGCAAGGAAGCCAAGGATTAACTTAAACAAACCCTTCCTNCAATTAACAGAAGACAAGCCATTTTTCAGAACAGATTCAGACAAATTACGAACACCAATTTTGCCATAAATTTCAAGCAGCTTCTGCCGAGGCAAAGATGGCAAGCTTGGTTGTGGATACCAAACGAACAAGGGATGAGAAGAAGACTGTTCAAATAAATCCTTCAGATAGAGATCATCAGCAATAAAAACATCACGTTTATCAAGCACCAAAATTTTGTTCGAGCCTGAACCCACAGGAAGTTTTGACAAGTTCTCAGATAGAAATTTCTCGGTTCTTGGGCTCCAGTGCTTCACAATGAACTCCCAGAAGGTTTGACACTCTGATTGTGACAAACTGCGGTCCGCGTCTTCCCATGACTTCCAAAGCTTGAGAAAATCATCAAGAGAAGGATTGCTTTTGACACCTAATTTGGAGAAGAAACTGATCAGTTCTTTGTCATAGTGCTTTTCTAAAACATGCAGCTGCAGGCCAAAGAAACCACTTTTGTCGTGCAGAACACAATCATCAGGATTCACCCACTCTCCAACGTTATCACCATTTGAAATCCATATGTTTCTAGGATCTTCTTTAGTTGGTTCCCAGTTGAACTTACTCAAGTACTTGTAAATCCGAGTG